TATAAAATTTTATATTGAGTCTTAATGGGTAATAATGATGACAGACACTGGGAGTTGGCAAATAAGCACTAGGTACAGAATATCTGAAAAAGAAAAGATATATATAATATATAAATATGTAATAGAAGCTGGGAACTAAAACTTTAACATTTATGTATAAAACCTGACATTTTTGGTGGGGTAAGGAATATAGAGGTAAGGTTGTTGGTGTAGAGACAGTAATGAAGTAAAAGCTTTCAAAACTTCATGTCTTGAATGGGAGTTAGAATAACTTTTTTTTTTTTTTAAAGATTTTATTTAGTTTTTGACAGAGAGAGACACAGCAAGAGGGAGAACACAAGCAGGGGGAGGGAGAGAGGGAAAAGCAGGTTTCCCACTGAACAGGGAGCCTGAATCAGGGCCTGATCCCAGGACCCTGGGATCATGATCTGAGCTGAAGGCACAGTTGCTTAGCGAATGAGCCACCCAGGCACCCCTAGAATAGCTATTTTTTGACTTAGGAGATTAATAGGTAAGTATATATTTATTTAGAACTATTTAATATGTTAATATAATTACTAATGAAATAGAGAGGCCTAGTAGAATATCCAAATTAAAGCAGTTGTGGTGGAAGAGATAGGAATTAAAAGAAAATTCATTAACCAAGCATAAGGAAAAGTTAAAAAGAAGAAACAACAAATTATATACTTGAAATAAGGATGGAAGGAATATAATTACCAATATATTAGTTAATCATTAAATGTAAAAGGATCAAATTTCCCTATAAAAAACAAAGAATTTCATATTGCTTTTAAAAACCAAAATCCAGCTTTATTTTGTTTTTAGGAAATATACAAAAATAAAATGACAGTGTGTGATGCCTGGGTAGTGCAGTCAGCTGACCATCTGACTCTTGATTTCAGCCTAGGTCATGATCTCATGATCACGAGATCAAGCCCCACAATGGGCTCTGTGCTGGGCATGGAGCCTGCTTAAGATTCTCCCTCTCCCTCTGTCCCTCCCTCTTTCTGTCTGTCTGTCTCTCTCTCCTTCTCTAAAGAAAGGAAAGAAGGAAGGAAGGAAGGAAGGAAGGAAGGAAGGAAGGAAGGAAGGAAGGAAGGGGTAAATAAATAAAGTGACAGTGTTATGGGTTGGAACATTTTCCCCCAAAACATTTGTTGAAGTACCTGTGAATATGACCTTATTTGGAAATAGATCTCTGCTGATGCATTCCACATGAAGTCATCTAGGGTATGCCCTAATACAATATGACTGGTGTCCTCTTAAGCAGAAGGGTGACACAGACACAAAGACTCAGGGGAACACCATAGGGCAACGGAGGCAGAGACTGGAGTGGTGCGTCTATAAACCAAGGACCGCCAAGGATTGCCAGCACACCAGAAACTAAGAGAAAGGAATGGAACAGATTTGTCCTCTAGAACTTCCAGAGACAAAGCGCAGCTCTGCCGACACTTTGTTTTCAGACTTCTAGTCTCCAAATATCTGTTGTTTTAAATCATTTGGTTTATGATAATTTATTACAGCTGCACTAGGAGACTAATATATAAAAAGACCAAAAAATAAATGGACGTATTAGGGAAACATGAACCAAAAGAAAACCTTATCAGTAAAGGATCAAAGTAGCAGACAAAGCAGAATTCAAAGCTAAAAACAGTAAATGCAATATTGTATAAATGTAAAAGTTACAGTTCTCCAGGAGGTTATAGAGAGTCGGCATTGAAAAGGCCACAGACTGAAAAGACTACGCTCTGGGGCCTGATGTTCTAGAACCTGGCTATAGTTCCTGGCTCTGTTATTAAATGGCTCTGTGACTCTAGAGAGATTGCTTAACTTTTCTATGCCTCATTTTCCGTATCTATAGAATGAGAATAACAATAATACTTCATTTATAGGGCAATTATAAGGAATAAATGAAATTACATATGTAAAATTAATATTGTAAAATGACTTAATATATTTAAATGCATATATGTATTAATGTATGGTTGAAACAACAGCTGTCAGAAACACCAGAAAGTGTTAGCTATTCTTTCTCCTACTGTTATTATAAAATGCTATATAAAAACCAACCAAGCGACATGGGGTATAAAACCAAATCTCAAGAAAAGAAAAACTTTATAAAGTCACTATCATTGTAAAAGATTTTTAAATAATCACTTTCAGAATTTGACATAATTTTCCACAAAAAAGCAAGACTAGAGAGGACTGTGTAATACAATCAACAAGGTAAAACACACATTCTGTTCTATGTGAAAAGAGGAAATATATTCTATTTTTCATTTAGAAAAATCTGATTATTATGGAACCAAAGGAAACTCTTTCTCTTTTTTTAAAAGATTTTATTTATTTATTTGACAGAGAGAGAGAGAGAGAGAGACAATGAGAGAGAAAACACAAGCAGGGGGTGTGGAAAAGGGAGAAGGCTTCCTGCTGAGGAGGGAGCCCTACACGGGGCTTGATCCCAGGACCTTGGGCCAAAGGCAGACAATTAACAACTGAGCCATTCAGGTGCCCCCCAATAGAAACTCTTAATAAGCTCCTCAAAAAAGATTTTTATAATCCTTATTATCTCTTCATGATTTAAGAAAACTAGAAATCAAAAAATAAAAAGGCCAATCACAATGTAACCATTTAATATTAAGATATTTACTTTCAAACAACTTCAGGAAATGAACTACTCTTCTCTGCAACAATAGGGTATATGACAGTCAAGTGGCTGAGTCCTACTCGGTTGCACTGACAAAGAATGGCCATGACCGAGTGGTTCTAAACCAAGGTGGTACTATCCCCTTAGGGAAGATTTAGAAATGTAGAACTAGACATACAGCTGTAACAAAGACTGAGGAATGCTATTGGCATTTAGGGTCTGGGGGTCAAGAACACTCAAGTTCTACAAAGCTCAGAATACTTGTACACAATGTAGAACTTTCATAGTCAAAGTGCCAGTAAAGCTCCCATTTATAAACACTGTTTAAACAGTGACTACATGGCAAAGACTCCATAGATGCTTAAGATATTTCTATTTGAAATGAAGTTAGTATCACCATGGTAAAAAAAAGTCTATAAAACTAGCAGACAATTCAATGTTCAGTTTTTCACGGCAAGAACCAAATTCAAGAACTTTCTTTGCTTTTGACAATAATCTGAGAGCAAGCAGGGCTCTGTTTAGAGATTGCTGCAAAAACTTTTTTTTTTTAACTAAGGCTCAAAAAGGGAATTCATATTTATCCACAGAATAGGTAGATAATGGATAAATAAGAACATACAGAACTGTAATTCAATTTAATTTGTTATTTAGCTTTCATTAGCTAAGTCAAATTCCAAGCAAATCAAACTTGAGTCATTTACCAGAAGCATCAGTGCTACTGGTAACTATGTTTTTTGCACATTCTCAGGTAAAAACAAAATATTTCAACAGTGTCCCTTCTTAGTATTTCTGATGGTACTAAGGTAAAATGCAATGTCCTACTGTGGATAGCATGTGGGGACAAACATCTGCTGTTGGCTCAGGTCTTGATCTCCGGATCCTGAGATCCAGCCCCCACATCCAGCCCTGCTCAGTGGGAGAGTCTGCTTTTCCCTCTCCCTCCCCCTCTATCTCTCTCAATCCCCCTCTGCCCATCCCCACTGCTCATTCTCTCTCTCTCTCTTTCCAAAAAAAAAAAAAAAATCTTAAAAAAATAAAATTGGGATAATAGTATTTGCCTTACTTGTCTAAAATGTCAGGATGCAGAGTAACTATGAAGTCTCTACAATGGCCTGCCAATCTGTTCTGGAACTTGCCCTCTTGCTACCTCTCTCACCTTATTTCCAGTTACATTTTCCCTCCCTTACTCTGCTACAGCCACTCTGGTTTCCCTGCTGTTCCCTGACTATTAACCTAAGGTCACAGCACTGACCATTCCCCTGTGAGAATGCTCTGTCCCCAAGAGCTTCAGGCTCACTCTCTCACTTCCTTACTTCCATCAAGTCTCAGTTCTAATGCCACTTTCATCAGAGAGGGGTAGCCATACACCATCGTATGAAACTTTCTCTTTATTTATACTTTGGTGTAGCGATGCTCTACAGTGTAACATCTCATATTCTAGTTTGTTTGCTTATTGTCTATCTCTTCTCTGCTACAAAGTAATCTCAAGGAATGCATGAAATTCTTTTATCTTTTCCTTATGAATACTATTATAATAAATTAATTTTTCTGAATTCCTCTGTATAAAAATTTAGCAGTATATTTTGTCAGAAAGTTTATATCTTTACTTTTCACTCATTATCATGAAATTATATTAATATTATTTTATTTTTTATGACATAACATATACTTCCAGACACATAACCATAATGATTTAGCATAGTATGGGAAGCTACATTTTTAACATCTCCAGTATGTCATTTGCCTGTCTTAGTTATCCCAGCATTCAAATATTCAAAGCATGTATTAATTTTGCATACTCTTTCCCTGAAAAGATAGTACATGCCCTCTCTTTTGAGTGAATAGTTTTTCTTCCCTAAAAGCAACACGTTATATTTCATAACTTTAATATGTTACAAACCAGGTGGGCCTAAAACGTGTTACTTGCCCTGAGAATAGTTTTCAAATTGGGTTTTTTTTTTTTTTTTTAGATTTTATTTATTTATTTGAGAGAGAGCGAGAATGAGAGAGAAAGAGAGAGAGAGCATGAGAAGGGGGAGGGTCAGAGGGAGAAGCAGACTCCGGGATTCGATTCCGGGACTCCAGGTTCATGACCTGAAGGCAGTGACTTTACCAACAGAGCCACCCAGGCGCCCCTCAAATTGGGTTTTTGTTAGTCATGCTTGTGTCTGTCTCCCTACTGCAACGTAGTATGACACAAAGCTGAGTCCCTTTCTTATCCATTTTATGTTTCTCTCATACTTTGTACCTAACAGAAAATCCGTAATTATTAATTTACTGAATATAGGCATTAGTGCAATGATAAGTAGCCCCTCCTCTCTTAAGCAGAAATAAAATAAGGAAGATTACTTACATTTAGAGCCTGATGAAGACGACCCACTGACGGTAGATCTCGATCCCCCTTTCATGGAAAAGACCCCTTTTCCCCTGCGAGTCGTCGTGACGGCCACTCTGGGACGCTTCAGTGGAATCACCGCACGGGGAGGCGGAGGCACACGGCCGTGGTAATCGAATAACCTTCACAAAACACAAGTGTGGCTGAGAGTTGGTTTATGCCTCCATGTTCTGTCAAATGTGTGAAATGATTAAGAAAATGGCCTTGTAAAAAACGTCAATAAATGTTTTTGTTATGGTGGTTGTTCTCACACAGGTGCTTATTAGAAATAGGATTCTAACAGTCTATGCGTTCTGGACATTAGAATCTGGCTCTCCAATATGAACTCATCTTTAAAGTACGAAAGGACAGGGATTTACTCCAGTGGTACCCTGCCATTTGTCGAAATCAAGCTGACCTTTCTTCCCAAGTATATTTCTTTGCTCAGTCTTACAGACTTATCCTTCCTAGGACAGAAATCTTCCTCTTACACATCAGCCCTTATTAGTGCACTAGTTTGAAAAGAGGAAGAGATCATGCCGAATCAGGAACAAGGCAAAGCGGATTATTGTTCCATCATAAAACAGCTCATATGAAAAATCATTCTGAAGTGAGTCTAGATTAAAGAGAGCAGCTGTGAGAGACAAATCAACATGGTGCTGCACCTCTAAGGACTTTTTAAGTAACAAAGGACTCCTCTGGCTGTAGAAAAAGGGAGACTGGATTTCAGTAAAAAAGAGGATAAAATGTTGTTGACTAGAGTACCAGTGGAAATAGGTATCACGATGTCTTTTATTATTCTGACCATTTGCTAGACATGCGAACTGAGACTAGTGATATTTGTATAGTAAGATATAGAAAATTTCCCTGAGAAAAGTACCAATAAAAATTCTAGAAGCTTTTACTAAAAAGTGAAAAATGATAATTGACACAATCAATGCATTGCCACTGAACAACGAAAGGAATAAAAGTATGAGAATATTTACTCATTTATATAAATATATAATTCACAGATTCAGAAGCTTTCATATTGTTCATACTGCATACTCATGAACAACACATTTTTGCATACTTAGCACATTTGAGAAGCAAAAAATCAGAGAAAAACTATGAGGATATATTTACTCACTCACTTTTTAAAAAAACTATCTACCAGTGAACCAGATGTGTTATTATTTTATCCACTCTAAAGGGAATAGTGTTATTGACTTAGAATGATCACTGATACTACTTTATTGTGACATTATATATAGATTATATAGATTACATTCTCATAACTGTTTTAAAACAGTCAATAAGAATAATCTAATATAAAAGTCAGAAGTTTCTATAATAGGAAAAAAACAGTTTCTGTAATAGGTCATTTTATAAAGTTACATCTTATTTACGCATACAGATGAATCCCCTTTTGGACAACAATATATGAAATACAGTAAAAATTAAGATAGGCAGGTTTCCAAATATTCATTCAGAAACACTCAAAACTATGATACTATGGGGGTAAAAAAAAAAAAAGGAGCATATAAACCACGCTTGAAGCAGAACTTAGTACTGGGGCTGTCTCCTACATTAGAGAGCTAAAGTGTTCGAAAACTATTTGGAAGCATGCTGGGGAGAAACTAAGAGATGTCTGGAAAGGAAAAGAAATAAAATGAGACAGAGTTCAAGAAAGGTGCCATCCTCTGTGAATAAGCAAAGTCCATTAGAGCTGAAGAACTGCTAGCAGAGAACAGGTCATGGATGTCAACACATTATAGTTTCCTTCAAAGAGGATGGGCAGGATGAAGCTGAAAAGGGTTATGAATATCATCCATACCACTAGGGGCTGGAAACTCAAAAGGGTCAACGAAACCTGCCCCTCATTTCAATCACAAAACAAGGACTCCATTACTTATTTATAAGTTGAATTCACACAGCACCTTAAGCTAGTGAGCCAAAATACGAAGGCACTTTTTATGAGCTCGAACACCCAGAGCTATTGAGGGAAGACAAAAAAAATATGGCAATTGACTCATCTCTTCCAGGGCAGATGCTGCTGCTTCAGAGGAAAGGCAAGTTCTTTTGGAGGAGCCATTTCCTCCGGGGCCACGAAAGTGCAATTTAGCTGGTTCATTAATTAAGCTAATCTATAAGTTGGGTTGAGAATATACCACAATGGAGAAATGCTATAATGAAAACGCAGGCCAAGTAAAGCCACCTTACTCACCGCGACTTCAGTGACAATGTAGTTCAAGAATATTTTACAGGAAAGTGAAATGTTTCTCACCATTTCCTATTGCTACCCCAGCCAACAATTACAAAGCCTCCAGTATCACGCAGGCCTCATTTTATGTTGAGAAAACAGCTGTGTTTGTTCATTGTATTTGTGACATGCTTTTGGTATGCAACATACATTTTCGTCACATACTCAGTATGTGTCATGCGTGTCCTCTGCTGTCAATTCCTATAGAGCATAGCCCTTGTTCTCTGAATATTCTGGTGAGTTGCTTCGAAGGGCAATGAATCCTTTCTCATCAAGGAATCAAGGCAGTTTTTACCAATTCTTTCTGCCACGTGATGGGAAGATGTGCAATATCAGAACTTAAGTTTTAAAAAAGGGACATATAATTTATGAAAAAAAAAAAACAACTAAAGAAGTGTATGGACACTTCACATGGCAGCATAATTTTGAATTTTATAAAATTTAACGGAGTTGAGAAGTTTCTTAATTTTCATTGGCTACACTTGAGTTTACCAGAAATAAAAGGAAGACTGGGTATTGTCCTAATGCACAAAAACATAACAAGATAAGGATGGGGAATGGGGCCAGACTTTCTGGGATTTAAGGTAAGATGTAGGGTTCTTTTAAAAGCAGAGGGAAGTAGGTAAGAGGTAACTCATGAAAGGAGACACACCATTGGCTTTCTCATCAGAATTCTGTTTATAGAAAATTTAAGAAATTTTACCTTATAAGGTATTAGATCAGCAGAATTACCGAAACAAAGGAAATAGTCCATTTAAGATTACAGACAACAAAGATTATAATGCAATTGAATTAAATGGAATCCAAATCTCAAAGGGCAATGAAAAGTTTAGAATTTCTTCCTTCTCATTTTTTGGGTTCCTTCCACTCTTAGAATTACATTCCCTCTCCTTTTCTTTAATGGTTCTTTATTTTCCCTAATATGGGTAGAATACTGTTTTCCCTCTAATATTTATTGGCCAATAGATAATGATTTATAATGAAGCTAAACACAGAATTCCTTCCTTCCTCAAGGTCTACTTTAAAATAAGAACCCTAAAAGACCTATTCTCAAGAGTAAATAAAATAAATGTAGCCAGATTTTACTAAAAACAACCCAGTACAAAAATATGAGGATTTAATTCACTTTATTTAATAAATATTTCTACTTTTCAAGTGCTCATTTCTTGTTTGGAATTCTGTTTGCTTTAATAATGGCTGAGATATGTAATTTTATTACCTAGAAAAAGGTAAAATCTGATAAACAATATTAATGTACTTGATAAAAATAAACAAAGCTCGTCTCTATGAAGAATATGGATATTAGTTATTAAAAGTTAGCTGTATTTTGGACATAGACATTTACTGGCATATTAACATATAAAATGAATATAATTTTGAATGCTTGTTTTTATTAAAAGCTTGTTAGTATTAAGCTCAATAATAATAAAGCAACATTTAAAAAAGACATAACTCCTAACCTTATACTCTAAAACAACTACTATGTGGGGCATGTGTTTGGCTCAATTAGTTAAATGTCTGCTCTGAATTTTGGCTCAGGTCGTGATCTCAGTGTTGTGAGATTGAGTCCTATGACAAGCTCTGCACGGGTGTGGAACCTGCCTAAGATTCTTTCATTCCCTCTCAATAAATAAATAAATTAAATAAATAAAAAGAAAAGATTACTATCATTTTCTAATCTTTTTTCCACAAGTATCCATATCTTTCACATAGTTGAGAACAAAGTATATGTATAATCATGTATTCCGGTTAATTCTCCTTGGTTTATATTAAAAACATTTCTCAAGCCTGCTAAATGGTCTTCTTAATGTTTATTTTAATTGCTATGGTGCATTTTCTCAAGCAGATATGCCATATTCTAATAATCATTACCTGATTGACTTTGACTTAATGCCTATTTTTCCACTGTCACCTAATGTGATTTTAAAATTAAAAAAATTTTAATGTAATGTTTGCATAATATTTTATCACTGAAGAATGAATTTTTAATTTTAGATAAATTATTTAGATAAATAGATTTCAAGAATTGGTAATTACCTATTTTTTTTTTTTTCTAAATTTCCCTCATGAAAAGAGTTCTTCATTTTCCTTACTCATGAATCAAAAGCTACAGTCACCATGAGCTTAATGCTAACAAAAACATGTAGTCTGTGCTAGGGGCTAAAAAACTAGGCTGCCTACAGCCCAAACCTGAAAACAAGTTCATCTCACTGGGGCTTTGCAGCATATGTGAAGATCAGTAACCAGAGGATCAGAGATCTTCCTATGTATTGATTGAAACTTGAACCCTTCTCTTCAGCATGTTTATCTTCTGACAGATGCATAGTCTATAAAATCAAATTAAGGTGTCTATTCTTTTTTACGAAGGAATATGTTTGAAAACCACGTGAATGATTCTTATAGCCTACTCATTATATCTGTTTTCTACTCTGCTTGAATTATTCAAACTTCACAAAATCTGTCTATAATTTCCATGCTGACTTCAAGTAAGCTTTTGGTTTCAACTGAATTAGGAGATTTCAAAGGCACACTTAACTGGAGACCAGAAAATGAATAATTTCTATTGGTTTTTTTATTGTTATTAAAATTTTCTAAGATTTTCAGTAAAGTTGTCTTCTTGGATCTTGTGCAGATATTTCTTGAACATGCTTTTAAAGGCAAGGTGATCGAAATCTTGAATGTCTTTTCATTTTATTATTTTTTAAAATTTCTTTTCAGTGTTTTTCTGCAATTTTTTGAATGCAATATAATGTTTACCATTTGCACAACTTTGCTATCTGCTATATTTCGTATACAGCTTTGGTTAATGAAATAGTCAATACATTCAAATAGCAGTTTTGAGGTTATAAATCAGTAAAATGATTCTCTTATTAATTGCTTATAATTCTGTAATGTGGGTAT